CGGAAAAAAAAAAAAAAAAAAAAAAAAAAAAATTGTACCTGGACTCTTTGGCTGCTGGACTATTCAATTATGCGCAGCAGTCCATTGAAAAACACTCTGAATTTCTATAAGAGTTCTTAGAACTTGTAGTCTTGTAGTCTGAAGTCAGAAATTCCCAGAGGTTAGAATCTGGGGTTCTTACCCAAGAGCCTAGCTCAGTGGGTACACCATTGAACTGTTGAAATACAGACGCGTGTTCGAACCCAGATAGTCAAACTTGATGAGTAAAATAAATAATAATAAAAAATAAAAAATAAAAAAGAATCTGGGGTTCTCAGTGTTCTCAGAACTTGTAGGTCGACTACTCAATATAGTTGCAAGTCATTGGACAAGAGTGTTTAGAACTTTAGAGCTTGTAGTCTGGTGTCCTCAGTGTGTTGAACTGTGTGTTCTCAAAAATTGTAGCTGGACTATTCATTTAGGTGCAAGCTATTGAACAAGTTTCCACAATTTTGTTATTTCCCTCCCTCCCCTCCCATCAGCACAAGCCATTTGTTGAATGCAACTCGAAAAAGTCTTGAATCATTTTTGTTGTTAATAACTGTGGATCTTGGTAGAGGTGAGAACTCAAACGTTGCATCGGAAGTTCTCAGAAGTTCTAAGAGATAACAATCTGGGGGTTCTCGGCATTCTCAGAAACTGCAATCTGTCACTCCGAAAATTCTCAGAAATTCTCAGAAATTCTCAGAAATTATGAGAAATAGTTATATGGCACTCTCGGAGTGCTTTATGACAAGGTTACCAAAAGTTGCAATCTGTGCTTTATGTCACTCCCAAAAGTTCTCAGAATGTGGATACCAAGGGGTTCTCAGTTCTCCAAGCTTGTATAGCAAGCTCTCGTCTCAGGAGTTCTCAAAAGTTCTCAGTGCAACCAAGGTTCTCAGTTCTCGAAGCTTGTATAGCAAGCTCTCGTTGTGAGAATTTGCATACCGAGGTCCTCAGGAGTTCTCAGAAGTTCTCAATGCTCAGAAGTACACAAAAGTTCTTTGAAGTTCTCAGAAGTTCTCAGAAGTTCTCAGAAGTTCTCAGTAGTTTTCAGAAGTTCTCAGTAAATGTCAGTAGTTCTCAGAAGTTCTCAGAAGTTCTCAGTATTTGTATGTTAGCTCAGTGGGTACACCAATGAACTTTTTGAAACACAGACAGTTTGAATCCAGATGATGGAACTTAACGAGTGAAACCAAGTACTTCTGAATTGCCTGGGGCGGGTCAGCTCAATGATGATATCTCAAGACCATCTCCCTTTTAAAAAAGGGGGAAACAAATGACTTCTTAAAACTTGTAACCTGAGATTTTCAGTTCTCAGGAGCTCTGAAAACTTGTGGTCCGGATTCTCATAAGTTCGTAGAAAAGATTTTTGGTGCTTGAAAAGTTGGGTGTACCAAGGTTCTCATAAGGTCTCAGGACGCCATCATGGGGTCACAGCTGGGTGTGTTCTGTTGCATGGAAGTCGTATCTTCTGTGTACACTACACGGACTGCCATGGCCATAAAGCTCCAGTTTTTGCAAAAAGAAAAAAGAAAGTTGAGAAAAACAAAAAGGAATGCGTATAGCACAAGACTATAGCTGAAATGCCGTCTGTTCCAAACCAAAGATGGCTCTGATGAGAATATATCATACTTGCAAGCAGTCGGACCGGACAAGCGTCCGGTCCAGTCCGCTTTGCCGCGTGCGGCACCCTCCCCCCGGACCAGACGGACCTGGACTGGACCGGACAGGGCCTTTTTTTTTTGGGGGGGGGGGGGCGTGTAACTTGTGGTTGGGCGCACATTCGTGCACCGCGCGGGTCCGGTCCGGAGGTCTGCGCATGTGCGGAACTGCCCGGACGACGTCCGCTTGCAAGTATGGAATATATTTTAAAAAAAAGAACAGGCGGCTTTACTGTGTCTGTGTGGTTCATCATCCAATATTTTTGGCTCAGGGTCCAAGGTTTTGGGGGCTGTGTGTAACATTGTGTTCGCGTTCCGTGACGGCATGACCGAACCCGAACACGACCGAAAGTGAGCGAGCGCTAAATTGTCCGAACGCGAATACAAAAGTATTTATAAAAAAAAAAAAGAGAGCTCTCAGAAAAATTCAAAAATCTGAAAAAAAGGATATGGCATGTATTAAATAATATTGCAAACAACTTTTTGCCTGCGAGGCATGTTCAAATTTTTAGCCAAACTCGAGTTAAAAAACAAAAGCCTGAAAAACAAACAAACAAAAAAAAACATTAAAAAAAAAAAAGTTTGACCGAACACTTTCGGGACGTGTGCAGCTGAACATCCAAACGTGTTCAGGCGTTCGTGAAGCCCCAACGAACACATCCGGTGTGCTACACAGGTTTTGGGCCTTGATGTCACCTTAACAATTGCTAAGAGCCACTTTTGTCTCAGGACCTCCGATGCGCTGGGTTAGAAATCAGCTCTGCTTCGACACCAGGGGTCTTTTTTGGGGGGGTCTTTTCTTTTTTCTGGAATAGACCTTGTACCCATCGGGTGGCCGGATAACGCAAAGATCCTCCTGGTGTCCACTGTGTAGCGTATGAATGTATTTGAGGAGCTGAACTGGGTTGGTGGGGTTATCTTGGCTCAGAAACTGGGCACGCGACCCGTGCATGGCTCCAGCGAAACTGTCGTGCTTGATGACCGACCCATGCACAGCATGTCATATGTTTGTGTAGTTCCTTAAAAAGGCTCAGCGAGGTTGGTTGCTTCAAGAGGGCATGAAAACCTGACATGTCAAATGGAAGTTATGGAACGCATGAGCGTACAATGAGCTACTCCCAAAAAAAACGAACGGAAAGGGAACTGAATGGGCTAAGAAATTACAAATCGCCTGTGGCTCGCACAGCACAATCTCCTAATCACGTCAGCTTTAGGGCAGGATGAGCTTTTCAGGCGGCCACAGGTAATAGCTTTTAGGTGTCGGTTGGACGCATGCCGAGTAGCCTTTGCACATTTTATGATTTTAATATGTTTTACCCTGGCAGAAAAAAAAAAGCCTATGCACTTGTACCCCTGTCAGTCATGCTGACCCTTTTGACTCGATTGTAACCCTGTTAGTCATGCTGACCCTTTTAACGAAATTGTATCCTGCTAGTCATGCTGACCCTTTTAACGAAATTCTACCCTCTCAGTCATGCTGACCTTTTTAACAGAATTGTACCCCGTTCTTCCCTTCCCCGACTCCGGAAAGGGACTGATGAAAGCCCCTATATGCCTTTGTTGTGGGTTGGATCTCCTACCCTTGCAGAAATACAAAAGTGCGTGATAGCTCTGCACTTGTACCCCTCTCAGTCATGCTGACTCTTTTGACTCGATTGTAACCCTGTTAGTCATGCTGACCCTTTTAACCGAATTGTACCTTCTCGGTTATGTTGACCGTTTTTAAAGCACCAGTACTTGGCCCAGCTATCGATGCCGAGCCTGGAATGCCCCTGCGAGCGCCGGGGTACCGTTTTGATTTTTTTTTGGCGGGCCCTTCCAGCCATTGTGGTCCGATATCCCGAAGCCCTAAAGGCGCGCCATGTTAACGGGAAAGCGCCGCGGCCGATAGCTGGGCCAAGTAGTGGTGGTTTAACAGAATTGTACCCCTTTCTTCCCTTCCCCCACTCTGGAAAGGCACTGACGAAAACAAAACCCCCAAGATGCCTTTGTTGTGAGTTGTCCCTCGCTCCCCTCCCAACTCACGCATCCACCCTCGTCTTTCAAGTTGAACATTTGCAAAGAAGAGGAATATTTGAGCCACCAGCTCAGCAAGCAATGCTCAAAGGCGAGGATGTTTTATGAACTTCTATCATGTCAGGGTATCGTCGATTTCCATCCAGCAAAATTTTGGACCACTTCTCAATGTATGCATTTCATTCTTGTGCAGCGGCTATGCTATAACTTCTCTGTACATAATTCCAAATTGCGTTGCATTCTTGTGCAGTGGCCACGCTAAACCTCTCTGTACATCAATCCAAATTTTCAATAGCTGGCGTAAATGACTCAATTTTCAAAATTTTGGACCATATTTTGCAACCCAGAATCAGCAAAATCATGTGAAAGAGCAAAAACAATTGTCAATGCGTGAATTGTTTGCATCGGAGCTGAGCAAGGCTGGGACATGCTTGGAAAGAGTCAAGAGAAAGAATCATGTGAAAGAGCAAAGCATTCGTGGAAAGAGTCAAAGAAAGAATCGTGTGAAAGAGGAAAGCACTTGTGGAAAGAGTCTATAAGAAAGAATTGTGTGAAATAGCAAAGGACTTGTGGAAAGAGTCTAAAGAAACAATCATGTGAAAGAGCAAAGCACTTGTGGAAAGAGTCTAAGTAACAACCATGTGAAAGAGAAAAAGCAAATGTTATTCTGTGAATCACATCGTCTCCTGAACTGAGGCTGGAACACGCTTCGGAAAAGAGTATAAGAAACTATGTGGAGTATAAGAAACTATGTGGATGTGCCAGCCACCTCTTGCAAACTATGTGCCAGCCACCTCTTGCACGCAGCGGTCGACGCAAATGTCCATGTATATATGCTTCCAATTTCTACACGTATTGCCGCCCAAACGTCAACCCTGAGATGTACCCACAAAGATCTGGGCATCGTGCGGATACTAGCGGGATATATAGAATCGAGTGGGACCTTGGGCTGGAAAACAATATATATAATCCAGTGGGACCTTGGTATGGGAACTGGCCTCGATGAGCACTAGGCCAGTGCAGCTTCTTACCGAGGTATGAGAGCTGTGGACTGCTGCAATTTACAAGGGGGGGGGGGGTGAGAAAGTTTATTAACGCGCAGGATTTTCCATCACCTTTTCAAAAATGGGCAATTTGCAGGGGAACACCTGAATGCTAGCTCCTACAACTCAAAAATTGAATTACTGCCCTTATCAGAGTGGAACTGGACGTCTTCATGTACTGGTACAGATAATCCACCTAGCCGTCTGGCCATCAAGATTCAGCCATAGAGGGGTGGTGAGGTGTTTTTGCAAATCTACAAGGGGGGCTATGTTCTCCGTCCGTCCAAAGGGAAAATGACCACCCAGCCCCGGGCAATGAAAGTAATGTCCCCTATGAGAATGTGCATGCACGTTTTAATGACCAGGTGCATAATCATTCACTGGGACAAGAAAATGTATATACTGCATTCTGGCAGGCACAAAGTGGTGTGGTTACAGCCCCCAGCAATGAAAGTAATGTCCCCTATGAGAATGTGCATGAACGTTTTAATGACCAGGTGCATAATCATTCACTGGGACAAGAAGATGTATATTGTGCATTCTGGCAGGCACAAAGCGGTGTGGTTATTTGGACAGGGGTAGAAAGGACAAAGTCGTGGTGGTGATTTCAAAAGGGGTGGGGCCTTTCACCTTTCACCCTTCACCCTCGTACATGCAGTCTAAACCAATGTAAATCCACGAGTTATTTCACTTCAATTTCAAAATTGAATTTCAAAATTAATGCAATGTGTAATGGACTTGGGCCAACCGTGTGGAGTATGCCACCATCTTCTCGCAAACACAACGCACCCTCTTCATGGCCATACCTGACCGAGAACACTGTGTATACACGGAGGGTGCATTGTGTTCAGGGGATGATGGTGGTCACACCAGGGATGATATCCCTCCTAATTCGAGTCTTTGTTCCTGGTCATCAGTCTCCGAAACCTATGGTTGCGAACGAATTCAGTCTCCAAAACCTATGTTTGTGAACAAAGAATCCAGTTAAGTGGGGTCTTTCCCAGGGGCGCTTCTTCTGGGTCTCTGCCCAAGGAAGGGGTGACAGCCTCGGACCTGACCATCACACATAAACGACTATTCAAGAATAAATCAAGAGCTCAATTTCTGAGCAATACAAACAGCATTTCTCAACCCCGCTACCTCTCATGCTCGCGCCTACACCCCTTTTGGGTCCATACACTCCTTTGTATTTGTTGATGTTGATGAACAAATTAACAGTTCAAGACCTGTACAATACAATTGCATTCCCCACCTACACGCACCGCCCTCCTCCCCTTGCTGCGCCTACACTCACCCCCCTCCTCCTGCACCTAC